TTAAAAAACAAACTCAGTCTTTTTAAAATTATTTTTCCAAAGCCATTATTCAAGTCAGTTTTTTAAGAAAATATTATTATATCAATATTATAGGACAAGTATTATTTATTTTATTAAAATTACAGACATTAGTTATAAAGGTTACCTGGGCATATACAATGGACAATATTCAAACAAATTATCATCAGGGAGGAGAAGGAAGAAAAAAAAAATTTTGAAATAAAAGTCTTTGTAGAATGGTTCTAAGTCAGAAGATGTTCATGAAATGATATATCATCAATATGAAATTAAATAATGTTGGGAACTGTTATAAAAATGAAAGTTATGTGCATGATAATTAAAAATCATACTGATGCTTGCCTTATCTAATCTAATATAAATAAAGTAGTTATAATTAAGAAAAAAAAATTAGTCAATTTTTTTTAAAATGCCTTAGGAAAATATCAAGAAGGTTCGTCATTCTTATACCCTTAAAGAGAAAGCCAATGTTGTTCGGTATGCTCTTCGTGAAGGCAATCTTAGGGCCACTGCTAAGTTTGATTTAGATAAGACTCAAGTTGGTTATTGGGTAATGAAGTTAAAAGGTAAACTTGATGAGGTTAATTATAGCAAATCTCATCGTCTTGAAGGTGTGGTAGAAAAAGTTTTTTTTCTAATGAAGAAGTGCAGATTTATAGATAGATATCTGAAATGTGTAATGCAGCACTTGCTGTAACATACAATAGTCTCAAGTTTGAAATGTTAAGAATCATCTCTGAAATGGTGTCAAAAAGTAATGATCTCAAAATAAAACAACTTGCAAGTAACTTCAAGGCCTCCTCAATGTAGTTAAAACATTTTTTAAAATGCTATAATCTTGTCTTACGCTGTAAAACAAAAATAGCACAAAAATTGCCTATTGATCTTGAGCAGCAATTGCTCAATTTTCAACGATATATAATTCAGTTATGCCTTAAGAGAAACTATCCCTTAAGTAATATCGCAAATATAGATGAAACTCCTATCTGGTTTGACATGGCTGATGATCTGACTGTTGAACAAATTGATGTCAAAACAGTTCATATACATACAACTGGTAATGAGAAGAATTGCTTTACTGTAGTTTTGACATGCTTTGCTAATGAACAAAAGCTTCCACTCATAGTTATATTTAAGGGTCAAAGATGGGCTAAGACTAAGGCTTCTTCTCTTCCTGGTGTAATTGTTTTTTTTCATGAAAAAGGTTGGATGAATGAACCTAGTATGTTGTTATGGGCCAATAACTATATAGAAGATTGTTTAGATAGTCAGAAAAATAAACTCTCTCTTCTTGTCTTTGATTCATTCAGAGTATATATTACTAATGCAATTAAAAAGAAGCTTCAAGAGAATAACAATGACCTTGTTGTAATTTCTGGTAGGTTAACTTCTGTATGCCAACTGCTTGATGTTTCAATTAACTGTCCCTTCAAAGTAGCACTTCGTAACTACTAGCATAAATGAATGACAAATAATGGGTCTGACAAAACTAAAAAAGGAAACCTTAAATGCACTGAACTATATATAGTTTGTGAGTGGGTGCTTGCCACATGGGCAGAAATTGATCCTAAGATTATTCATCATGCCTTTCGCAAGTGCTCTATTTCTAATATTATGGATAAATCAGAGGATAGTGAGATATATCATGACAAAATCCTTGATAATAAAACTAATGAAGCTAATGAAAATAATCCTAATATGGATTCTGGTAATTTTGGTAAAAATGAGGAGGATTTTAAGGATAAAGAAAATAATGATGCAACAATTGAAGAAAATAAGGATGTTCTTCTTTTTACAATAGATTAAGAATGTATGATTCAAAGCTTTTACAGCTGTCTAATAAAGTTTAATGATCATGCTTTATTGCAAAATATCAAAAGTTTGTAGATATATAATATAAAGTAAGTATAGAAATAAATTATGATCCAGTAATCAGAGTAATGATTTTTATGCTACTTAATTTTTCGTAAGAAGAATTGAGTAGTATAAAAATCATTATTATGATTACTATATGATGTAATATTCGTATTATAAAAATATTTTATTTGACATCACTTCCAAAAAAATGTGCATGAATTAATGACTTATGCAGTTTTATCATTTTTTATAATAGGTTAGTCATGGCAAAAAAATGTCAGGATTACAAGATCAAACAATCATTTTCAACACAGAGTATGCAAATAATTTTACAAATTTTAATACTATATAATTATATAGATTTTATATAATATCGATATATGATTTATCAAAAATCATTGATCTTGTGATCTTAACAATTTTTTTGCCATAACCTATCTGCATTCAACAAAAGTTTTTATACATAAAACTATATGAATTAGTGAAATCTCATTTCTAATCTGAAGGCATATATTAGGCGAAATAAATATTTAATTGTATTATCTAATTGGAAATTGTTTAAATAAAGTTATAATTTATATAGTACATTAGTTGCCTATTAATAGTATATTTGATGGCCCAGTTCAAATAAATTCTCACTAAAATTTGATCATGCTAAAAAAAAAAAGTATTTTTATTGGTTCCAGACCATAATTCTAGGTTCGGATAAAGGTACTTGAAATTGGAAATAGCTTTTATTTGGTAACTAACAATTTCTTTTATTTTTTTTATTTTTTGCACTCAAAAAGTGGAAGGTAGCTTTTATTCGGGGGTAGCTTCTATTTGGTAATATATGGTAATAAAAAGTTGAAAAAAACTACCAACTTACAATAAGAGTAATACATTCATATAAGGAGTGTAAACAGTATAAAAGCTAAAAACTAATATAAAATATAGTATGCAAATGTATATATCTTATGTATACTTTATATCTAATATATTATAGCTCTGTAAAACAAATTAAAAAAATATTTGTAAGTATTGTTGTTTGAAATACTATTTTTAAGGTACAAATTACTTTGCTGATTTCTGAATTAATTACTTTAACCTATAAGACAAAATAAGAAAACAAAAAGTGCATCTGTTGGCTTATGAATTAAAGTTATATCAATCTTGTAATAGAAAATTTTGAAATAATAAATAATCAATAGACTCAAAATAAAAGTATGGTTGTCAGGATTTTTAGAAGCTACATTTTTGATAATCACAATTAGATATAATCAATATTATATATAGGGGGCATACTCCAAAAATTTGCTGTGCCTCCAATCCTACATATATAACTGTAAAAATTATATAATAATTTTGTTGATGCATCAAGAGTAGTTTCTAAACTGAAAGTAAACCATATAATCAACAACCAATAAAATTATATAATTTTGGTAATCATTAGTAAAGCAAAACAAGAAATAAAAATAAAAAATCTAAAAAATACAAAAAGCTACAGTTTAAATCTGTCTTGGATAAGTTAAAAACTAATTCTAATATAGAAAACTCTAATCTTAAAGTTATTTAAAAACTTTATTAAAAATAAGTTATTTTTACTTTAGATGTTTTTTTAATATAATAATTCTGCTGATCTTATTTAGATTATTAATTAAACAATTTACAAATATAAAATTATTGTAATGATTTTTTTTTTTTTAATATTAAGATGATTTTTTTGGTCTTTTGATTTTATTAACAGTTTTTGAATAATATAGTTTAATAAAAACTATTACAAGAAGAGTATACAACTGGCTAATATATAACTTTTTTATATTACTTATTAAAAAGTCTGCCTAAGAGTTTTCTACCAGTTGTTATGTTTAAGATTCTGCTTGAATGTTCTGTTTAAATTTTTTAAATCTATAATCTGTATTAACTTTACTGAGTCATATTTGAATTCTTATTTCAATCTTAGAACTAATTTATCTTTTTTTTTTTTTTTGATATTAAGATGACCTCTTTGGTCTTTTGACTTTTATTAATCACTTATCAGTATTGTGGTTC